TGTCAGTCCAAGTGCCACAAGCACATCAGGGATGAGCAGGAGCACCGAGCACAGCTGTGGAACGGAATGTTGGAGAAGCTGAAGCACAAGGAATGCTCAGTTTGCTAAAATCCCCTGCCTTCAGAATGTGTCTGGGCTCGTTACTGTCCATGAATTTCCATTTGCAAATGGTCCCTGCAGTGTGGTGTGTGCTGAGGGCCTCCACCCTCCAGAATTTACATCCCAAATTACAGCCAGTTGGCTAATCCAGGCTGTGGGATCTGAGGAGATGGATGTCCAGAATCCAAACAGGGTACCTGAGCTAATTAAAGTGGAGGAAGCCTGATTGGAGCAGCACAGAACTCAGCATGGCTTGGGGAAAAAACCTGTTTAATGTGCACACAGCACTTCAAAGTGGTGCTGTCTCCTTTGCAGCACTCAGAACTTGTTTGGCACAGGAAAGTCTCTCCTTTGGTTCAGTTACTTGTCCGAAATAGGATGGCACAGAGACACTTTGAGTAACACCAGTTATCTGATACTGGAGAAACCTTTCCTGCATTCCTTAGACACCACGCTTCTCCTGGGTTCTGAATTATTGGACTGTTGTCTCCCAGGCAAAGCAGGAGGGAGTGCTGCTATCCAAATTATTCTGCTGCTCCACACCATTCCTTAAAATGGCATTTCATCCCCATTTCACCCCACTGAACCCATGCTCAATGAGCTCCATGAGTTATTTCTAAACTCAGAAAGCTCAACATGACTTCAAACCACAGGGATCTTATCAAGGAATGGCCAACAGGACAGGCATCATCCTCTGGGTCTGTCAGCTTTAAATGGTGCCATCCAAACCCATCTCCCTGAGATGGAACAGGGTCCTGCAGGCCCTGGGGTTCAGATCCTTCTGTTTTTGTGTCTCACTCATTTTGTCACATTGACTTTTCTGTCAGCACAAAGGAACAGGACAGCAAACTCTTTAAGGAATAGGAGCAGACGCTGAAGGATTTGAGCCCTTCAGTTACAGAACACCTGCATGAGACTGCCAGAAGGCAGCAATTAAAAATGCAAAACAGCAGGGTGAGTTGATGACAAAACTTCCCAAATCTGAAGCAAAATAAACAGCTGACCCCAACAAACATCTGACCCCAACTCTTTAAGGACTTTCATCCCACCTTTCAGCTCCCAGACTTCAGCTCCACTGCCTCAGGGCTCTTGACATTCTGATTTCTTACCATCTCAAAGTATCCCAAACACTTCAAAAATCCTAAAATTTTTGTAGTGAGTAATCTGTAAAAATTCTAAATAATAAAATAAGCCAAATTTATGCAGGAATAAATTATCCTGGTGCTGCTGGTTGGATTTTAGCACCGGCAGAATTCCTGAAACACCAAGACAATTCTGCTCATGGCGTTCAGCCAGGCAGCTCAAACTCCCCAAGAGGGATGGAGCTGGAAACTTTGGAACCGTTGGAAGTCCCTGGGTATTGATTTCACCACGGAACACGTGATGGGATCAGATATCCAACAATTGCCGGGCTTCCCCCGGGAGCACACAGCACGCTGGGGTGAGCCTGTGCTCGGAGCTGAGCCCCAGTTCCCTTCCTCTGCACCTTCCCAACACCTTCCCAAGAAGTGCTGAGTGCCAGGGAGGTTTTTGCTCCAGGTTTGGAGCAGTGCACTCCATCTCTGTCCCATCCTGAGGGAGCCCCGAGTGCTCTGCTGATCCAAGCACGATGGAAAAGCCCCGGCAGCTCCCGGAGCAGAGGAACCCAAGAAGCCCTGGCTCTGGATTGATGTCCAATGGAACATTTATCTCCGTGGGGATCAGCTTTTTGTGCCTTAGCAGCCTTGCCTTTAAGGGGTGGTCAATTTTCCCTCTCACTGAGGTTTTTAATTAAACTTTCAGGCATTTAATTCCTCTGAGAACCTGCGCCTCCAAGCCAGCCTGACTGATATTTCTTTTAAAGAAAGATATCAGCCTGACTGATATTTCTTTTAAAGCTTTAAAATGATTCCAAAAGGTTGGGGTCTCCTTGGGCAGATGTAACAGGCCTGCCTTCACTTCTCTGGGAAACCAAGCTCTTGGAAAATGCAATTGTTAAATACTTGATATTCTGTGAAGTGAATGGAATTGAGTTTTTTCCTTTCCTTTGAAGCATAATGTAGAGCATTTTTTCAGGTTGATGTGAGTGTCATTTAGTGTAATTTGATAACCTGCAGAAGGGTCTGTGTGCCTGAGAGCTTATTCTCAGTTTTAGCTGTATGAGCCGGTCTATTTTACGACTTTATTTCTCCCTTCAGAACTTGCTTCTTGGCTAATTTGAGACCCTGGTGCACCCTCATTAAACCTCTCAGGAGCGTTTCTCCCTGAGGAAGTCCTGAGCCCACAGAAGTGAATTCTGCTTTATAACAGACCCATGATTAGATTAAGAGAATTCACCCTATACACATGCAAACATTTATAAATGTATCAATATGAAATATCACTTTTTAAACATTGAATTGTTTGGCTTGGAAAACCAACTTTAATGACTTTTAAAGATCTTTTTAGGGACAGAAGATTATATTTTCTATTGAGCCCAAATCACCAGAGCGGGCAATGAGAAATCCAGATATTTGCTCATTTTTTAGCAAGAGTCTCAGCATGACTCAGGATTTAGCCCCTGGTAATTAATTAGTCTCAGTATTAATAACAGCTACTATTGGGAAACTTCCCTTTGTTTACTATTTCATCAAACCCACCTGATGTTTTTTGACTTTGAATAACCTGTGCATGAGACAACAGGGTATGTCTGGGTGATTTTATTGCTGCTTCACCCTTTTATAACTTGACATTCCTGTCTGTTTATTAGTAAGAATGAAATGTAAACTTCCTACTTCCCACCTACTTCCTTGGTGTAATCCTGAAACAAAAAAACGGGAGCACAAGAGGACCCCTGCCACGACTTTTCCAGAGGCCAGGACTGGGAAGTCAGCACAAAACCAAGGGGATTCAGCTCTTCCCTGGCTGATCTCCTGTGAGGAGGGCAGTGCAGCGCTGCAGGAACACGGGGAGCAGCACGTGCGTCTCTGGGACAATGGGAGGCCACAGCTGCACCTTGGGGACAGCACAGGAGCCAGGCTCTGTCCGGGGCTGGGTGAGGAGCTCGTCCTGCTCATCACCACCTCTCTGCAGGAACTGTTTCTAGAATGCAGAAACAGCCAAATTCTCTCGTACATAACTGGAGTTGCAGCTCTCACCCCGCTCTATTTTCAAATAAGAAACACATCTATTCCATTTATTACAAAACAGCATTTGATCACTGCTGACCAAATGACTTGGATGGTTTACATCTTGAAAAAAATGGATTTGAATCTTCATTTGATTTAAGCCACTTAAACACTGCTCACCTATTTTATTTCCATGTGCGTGACTGCCCCTTTGTCATCATTCAACTTGAATAACCCCAAGTAAATAAAAAAATAATAATAAAATGCTACAGAGTCCTATCTCAGGTATGAGATATCCCATCAGGTATATCAAGTATCTGCAGGTATAACTGTAGAATTTAATATTGTCAAAGTCCTTTATAAATATTTATATATAAAAGTTCTTCAGAATCCAGTATTTCCAGATTTAATCTGTCCAACAAAGTATGTTAAGAGTCACCAGAAGTGGATGATAGAAATCCTTAAAAGGAGTTGAGTTCCTTCAGGGCGATGAAAGTCTCCTTTGACTTCTTGTACTGCCTGGCAAAGGTGGCCACCCTCTGGAGAGCTTCTGCCAGCCCCTCTCCCGTGGTGGCACAGCAGGGCTGCACGTACCAGTTCCTGTCACTGCAGTACTTCTTCATCTTGAGCTTCCTGGTGATCTCCTCGGCGTTCAGTGCTCCAGGCAAATCCTGCTTGTTTGCCAGCACGACCACAGGGACGTTTTTTATGGATTCATTCTTTAAAATGAGCTCAAATTCCTTCCTGGACTCCTCCAGCCGCCGCTTGTCAGAGCTGTCCACCACGTACAGCAGCCCGCTGGCGTCTTCCAGGAAATTGCTCCAGAGCTCTCTCATTTTCTTCTGTCCTCCAACATCCCAAAACGTCAGCGTGAAATCTTTCCCTGCTTCAATCATATCCACATTGAAGCCAATGGTTGGCATTGTTATAAAAACATCTTTATACCTGAACTTGTAGAGCAGCGTGGATTTCCCCGCGGAGTCCAGCCCCAGCATCACGATGTTGGCCGCCTTCGTTGAGGGCTTGGCGTTCTGGAGGCCCATTTATCCCGGGGACTTCTCTGTTCCAGGGATATTCCCCCTCTTCCCTGGGGCCAGTTTGTGTTGCTGCCTTTCCCCCTCCTGAGGTGAGGCACAAGCAGAGAGGGAGAAGAGGCAGCTGTGAGCTCTGGAGCAGCCAGAGCTCTGCACAAACACACGCTGCTTTTATCGAGGTGATAAGGAGCCACGAGGCTTCGGAAGGCGCAGAGCTCCGTGCCAAGCCTGTGGGTGGGACTGGGATGAGTAACCACGGCCCCACTGGCACGGGCACAAAGGTTACAGGCTGCCAGCTTGTTTGAACAGCCACGTTCCCAGCACCTCCAGCCTGACCCAGGGATTCCCTGATCACCACCAGGTCCTGGCTCTGAGAGAATCCCCCTGAGCATCCACAGCCATCTGGGAGAAAAATGAGGTTGATGCCTTAGGCTTTAGCTTTTATATTCTGATATTTTATGTTCAGATTCTGTGCTGCTTTAGTGTGCAGGTCTGAGCTTCATGTTAAGTGTTGGTGAGCTCTCTTCACAGAGTAGGTGGGCAAAACAATTCCTGCTCCAGCTGGGCACCAAGGGCAGGGACGCGGCCCCCGCGTGCTGGGGTGAAATGCGTGCGGGGCAGCGCGCAGTGCGAGCGAGCCCCGAGCGCCGCCGCGCTGCCGGCTCGGATCAGAAAGCCCAGAAAAGGCTGAAATGGGTGCCTGGGCTCGGCAGAGGGCGGCACGGCCCCGCAGCCATCCCCTCCTGCCCGGCCCGGACCTCCCCGCTCCTCCCCGCCTCGGAAAAGGCGCCTGGGACGGCGAGCAGCGATGGACGGAGTGACAGCCAGGCGCTGGTAAAGGTATTTTAAAGGTTTTTTTTTAAAGTTTTAAAAATAAAAAACCTCGAAGTTTTGTTACATTAGAGCATGGCAGCACGGGGTCTTGTAAAATTGCCTCTAGTTTCGATTGGTTTTAAGTTTAAAAACGTAGAATCGGTGGCTGGTTTGGGCTGGAAGGACATTAAACTTTAACTCCTTCACCTCCTGCCGTGTGCAGGGACACCTCCCATAGACCAGGCTGCGTCCAAGGCAGCTTTAAATAGTATATTTCCAAATTATTTCTGCTGGTAGCTTTAAAAAGGAATTATTTTCCTATACACCTATTATTATAGTATTTTTAAAATCATCATATTGGACTATTGGTTATTATAATTAGTAATCTTTATTGAATATGAGAATTTCCCACCTTTTTCCTGCCCAAGCATGTCCACGTTACACAATCCCCTACCTGGGTGGAGATGGATCTAAATCCCTGTGAAGCATTCTGAGCCTTGTGTTGCCTCACATTTATTTCAAATGTCACCAGTTTCACTTTGGGCACTATCTCAGCTTGGAAGAAAGTAAAAGCAATGCCCTGGAAGGAGCTGCCGTCCACAGCTGGAAGGGAAAACGTGCCGGCACAAAGTCTGGAAGAGGAGGAGGAGCTGGAAGGGCAGAACCTGCACCATGACTGAGCAGAAGTGCTCGGACCTCGCTGACTCAACTGCCTCACTTTGCTTCAAGCACTCGAAATAGGAGAAGGTGAGGATTAATTTCCCAGTGTGGCTGGGGTTTCCTGAAAGACCTGAATTGATGTTTATTTTCCCAGATTTTTCCTTATGTAGCAGATCAGGATTTGTCTCCAATTTTGTTGTTCACAGTGTCATGAAATCGGGCTTTTCTTCCTACAAAAATCAAAATATTTATATTTTTTCCATTAGGCTGCCAAGAACTGATCAAATGGATCAGATTTCACTGATGTGATTTAAAGTTGATCATAAAATAAATGTTGTTGATCAAAATCAAATAATAAGCACTGATAAATAACCTAGGTTATTTTCTTCCAGTATGTATTCTCCTATTGTCCACTGAAAGTCAGGTTGATGCATAAAAAGAGAAGATTGCTATTAGTTAATTACTGATTTTGAGAGGAATCAGTCTGAAATTCTTCTATTTGAATGCTTTATATAAAATTGCTTTAATCCGTTTTAAGGCCATTGTTGGTGAAATGTTCTCCAATTGCTTCCTTTAAAGGATGATTAATTTAAAATCAGATCCTACACAGAAACACGAGGCAGGTGGGCTCTGGAAAATCAAATTCCCCTGCATTCCAGAGTGCTGTTCTGGGGGTTGGATTTATTTGTCAAATCTAAAACATTTCTGAGCCCTGTGGTGAGATTTTTGAAGATAAAGAGTAATTAATTGTGCTGTGAAATCAAACCTTCTATTATCCTGACTGTGTCTTTGTGTGTGCTCGTGCAGGATAAATATTATTACTGCAAACATCAGAAACCATTTGGAATTCCCACAGTTAAGCACTGGAGTTATTTTGGCTTAAAGATGGCTAAAATAGATGATAGAGCATGTGTAGTTTTAAGGAAATAAAGCTACCTGAGGGTACAAGCCTGGGGGTTTAGTTTTGAACTTAATTTTGTGAAGATTTATCCATTGGAATCTCTAATCCTGACATTGGAGCAGCAGCTTCAGCACAGATTCCACAGGGGTTTGGAAGGACCTGCTGTGGATCTGTGTGCCTCAAATCTAAAAATTACCTGGCTAATGGTAAAAACAGTCATGATTTTGGTCAAAACCAGCTTTAGTGCATCGCTTGGTTTAAGGAAGTTGATTTTCACCTTCCCCCTCCCCCTCAGAACAAGCAGCTGCTCAGGCCTTTAATGGAAATGAAATACTTGCTCGTAGTTCTGCTGTCTTGCCCACGTGCTGCAGCTCATGCAGATCAGACTTCCTGTCACTAACAGAAAAACAAAAGTTCTGAGGCTCTGAGCATCCATTTCCTGAGCGTTCCTTGGGTTTGGTGCACGGCGTGGTGTCCTTGAGGAGAGGCCGAGTCAGAGACGTGGTGCTGAGATCCCTGGATCACAGCCCTTGGAGCAGGATCCCTGCTGGAGATCAGGTGTGTGCGGGGGGGATCCTGCAGGGTGAAAGGCACGAGCTTTCAGTGCAAGCCCTGCTCTGCAAACCCTGCAAACCCTGCAGGGCAGGGGCTGTGTGCCCTGCTCAACAAACCCTGCTGGGCAGGGGCTCTGTGTGCCCTGCTCTGCAAACCCTGCAAACCCTGCAGGGCAGGGGCTGTGTGCCCTGCTCAACAAACCCTGCTGGGCAGGGGCTCCATGTCCTGCTCTGCAAACCCTGCTGGGCAGGGGCTCTGTGTGTCCTGCTCTGCAAACCCTGCAGGGCAGGGGCTGTGTGCCCTGCTCTGCAAACCCTGCTGGGCAGGGGCTCCGTGTCCTGCTGCCATCCCTGGGATCAGGGCGGTGACAGCTGGATCAGGAATGCATTGGCTGGTACCACAGCACAATCCCAGCTGGCACTTCAGCCAACACAAGGAAAAGGGAATATTTGACTAACAGCACTCTGAATGCCACTTTCCCCTTTTTTTCGGCAAGGAAGATGCTCCAGGACTCGTGGAACAGATTCTGAGTGGCACCAGCAGATCCCGACCATGATCCCGGTCCCGATCAGCACCTTGTGCATGAGACCCCTGAAATGGATTTTCCTGTTGCTGCTGGTGTTTTCCCTGATAACCATGTGGTACATAACCTTCTCCTCCAGGGCTGGCCTGGACAACGTGAACCCTCTGTACTTCTTCGAGTACGAGCCCGTGTACCGGCAGCCGCGCCCGTTCACGCTGCGCGAGCGCCCCAGGTGCGCCGACCTCCAACCCTTCCTGGTCATCCTGGTGGCTTCCAGCCCCAGGGACGTGAAAGCCAGGCAGGCCATCAGGATCACGTGGGGCTCCCGGGACTCCTGGTGGGGCCAGCACATCCTGACGCTGTTCCTGCTGGGGCAGGACACGCAGAGGGAGGACAGGGCGGCAGCGCTGGCGGTGGAGGACGAGAGCACCCTCTACGGGGACATCATCCGCCAGGACTTCATGGACACTTACGACAACCTCACCCTGAAGACCATCATGGCGTTCCAGTGGTTCTCCGAGTTCTGTTCCAACGCCAGGTTCTTCATGAAGACCGACGCCGATGTCTTCATCAACACTCCCAACCTGGTGAAGTTCCTGCTGCAGCTGAATTCCTCGGAGAACGTTTTCACCGGGTACCCCCTCATCGATAACTTTGCCTACCGAGGCTTCGACCCGAAAAGGTACATCTCCTACCAGGAGTATCCCTTCAAGCTCTATCCTCCCTACTGCAGCGGCCTGGGATACATCCTGGATGGAAAACTGGCTCTGAGGACTTACGAGCTGATGGGCCACGTCAGACCTCTGAAATTTGAGGATGTTTATGTGGGAATTTGCTTAAATATACTCAAGGTCAACATCGCTATTCCAGAAGATGCAGAACAATTCTTTCTCTACAAAATCGACTTTGATATCTGTAAATACAGACATCTGATTGCAGTTCATGGCCTCACATCAAGTGAACTGGTCCAGTTCTGGCAGGATTTGTCATCCAACACTTCAAAACCTTGCTTTTGATTGTGGATTTCTTTAGAAACTTCAGTTTGCTGTAAGAGCAGCCTCTAGAGATGACTCTGACTGCTGGGGCAATGCTTCTCCAGGGCATTCCAGTGCTTTTCAACAAAAGCAGGGATTCACAAAGCACTTCTCCAGGTGTGTATCCCACACCCAGAGGGTGCCTTGGAATGCTCTGTCCCATCTGCCTCTGCTGCCTTTCCATGTGCTCGGAGCAGCCCTGGAATTTCCCCCTGAATCCTCTGGAATGTACAAAATGCCATTGAGGAAAGATGTTCCTGCCAAGCAAGCAGCTTGGAGGATGCTTCCTGAATTGCTGCCTGGATTGTTTTTATTGTTTTATTGCCACTCTCCTTTATTTGTTCTCTGCCTAGCACAGAATTTAACCCAACCCAACCCAACCTTGTTTTTTGTGTAAGCCTCCCGAGAGTGTCACACCTTGTTATTTAAATGTGTCACCTCCACAACCCTTCCAGGAGTGTTCCCAGCCTGTGGGATCTGCAGGAGCTGGTGAGAAATGCTGGAAATGTGATGCATTTTGGGCGTGCTTATTAAATGGAATGACTTTGGTGTCTCTGCTGGTGTTCCCAGACCAGGGAGATGGAGTGGAGCTCACGATCAATCTGGACATCCCAAAACCACTGGGATCACCAATCCCCCCACCCCTGTACGTATGTGTGTGATGCATCCCAGGAGTTTTGGAATCCTGTGGAGAAGACGGAAAATCATTTCTGTTGTGATTTATGCCTGGTCCTAAATGAGTTTTTTGGTTCCAGTTTGAAAACTGGAAAAAGGAAGAAACCCCCCCATTGCTACTTTAAAGAAGACCGACTCCTCCCCGTGTGTAAAGACCATTTTTTAATCACTTTATTCATATCAGCAAGGCCCAGTTTTCAGTAGTTTACACTTCTAATGGACAACGATACAGAATTTGCAATTGCATGAACAGAATTAACCTGGACACATCCACTACACGGGGGAGGGACTGAGGAGACGTCCTGGCCACGCTCCCAGGGCTTCCCCTTGGGCTGGCACGACCCCACAGCCCTGGTGTGTCCCAGAGCCCGAGCTCAGGGCTGCCCAGAGCTGCAGGAGCAGGGCTGAGGGGTCAGCAGTGCCTCCAGCACCCAGGCACTGCTGGCTTTGGCTCTGCTCCACAGCTGCACCTGGGGCTGGGGAGGGGATCTCAGGATGGGCTTGTGGTTTTTTAGGGATGAAAAAGTCTTGGGGGAAAACACTCTCCAGACAAGGATTTCAGATGTCAGTGTTCTGATGGTGAAAAGGTCAAAGACTTTAAAAAATAAAGGCTATTTTTTTTTTTTTTTATTTTTTGGGAAAATACAGTATTGTGTGAAAAGGTCAAAGATTTTAAAAAATAAAGGCTATTATTTTTTTTTTTTTATTTTTTGGGAAAATACAGTATTGCATAACTGAGGGAACGATGCTCTTGTATTCCTAGATCTGGGTGAAATTCCAGCTGTGCTGTGGGTTTAGGAGCTGGGATTTGATTGCTCTCTGAGCAGGTACGGGGAGAACTGCCTTGTTCTGTGATTGTTTACACAACTCAACCCCCAAACCCCTCAGTTCTTCTCTAAGCCTGCCACGTGAAATGCTTAGAAATAAATTATTTACCACAAGAACACTGATACTACAGCACAGCTTGTATTGCTTTTTCCAAAATAAAAATGTAATTATGACTCTGCTGCCTTCAGGAAATGGATAAAGCAGAGAATGCTCGTGGTGAGGGAGGAATGAGAGTCCTGGGAAGGTGAGGATGGCCAGAAATTCTCCTGTCACCTGCAGGAATTCGGGGTTTTGTGCCCCAAATGCTGACACTGCTCACAGGTTCCAAGGGTTAGGTTTATACACAGTGATCTCTTTGTGCCACCTGAAATTAATTGTCATTGACAGTGCCAGCAGCACTGGAAAAACATCCATCCTGCCCCTGGTTTTCCTAAAAAAACCTCATTTCCAAGTCTGGCTTGTATTTGATTTTGACTTTATTATTGCTTAAAAGGCTGTAAAATTCCTAACTGAGCTCCTGTTTCTGCTCAAAGCCATTCTTAGGGAAGTTTTTAGTGTGAGCAGCCTGGCAAAAGGTGAAAAACCTTAAAAATATGAAATAATCTGGGCATTGAAGTGGGGTGGAGGGCAAATTTTTATTGCATCTGCCTAGAATATTGTACTAAAACAAAGTGTAAAACACAGGTTAAAGGTTTCCCAAATCCTAAGGTTTTGTTTTTTTTCCTCATGCAGCTGTATTAAATCAGAATTCCAAATATTTGTGATTTTGATAGGAAAACTGTACGGTTTTCTGACCTGAAAAGCCTAATAATAATAATAATAATAATAATAATAATGTTAATTCATTGGGCAAAGATGTTTGGAAGTTGCTGCTGGGTGGGGAGCAGGAGTGAGTTCCAAGGTGAAATTCCCATTCTGGATGTTATTTCAGAGGAGTTCAAATGCTTTGTGTGCACCCTGGCACAAAGAAATTCCCCATAAATCTAACAGGAGATGCAGGGGCAGCACTCCCCGTGCTCAGTGCAACAGGATGTTTGGGACATTTCCCTAAATTTTGCCTCACATTTACGGATGACCGGTGTCAGAGAGGCTGCCTGTGTCCACAGATGCAACTCCACTTCAAAAAATGCAGGATTGGCCATCAAATATGCTTGGAAAAAAGTGCTTTAAAAAGTTCCCTATTGCTCAGATCATTCCCAGAATCCCAGACTGGTTTGGGTTGGAAGGGACCTTAAAAACCCCCTCATTCCAACTCCCTCAGGGCTGAGCAGAGCAGGCACAGGAGCTGCCCAAATCCGTGAAATCCACACGTTTTTCCCTCAAGAATTGCCCTCAAAGCTCTGTTTGTGGTTCTGGCAAGGCTCCAGCTGCACCCACCAGGTTTTGCTTCCCAGAGCACCCAGATTATCCTCCAGAGCTGGACACAGCTGGAATTTTAAGTTACCTCAGGAAAATCCAAATTTATCCACCTGCTCCCCTAAGCCTTGTCCAGTCAGCACTGGAAAAATAAAAGTAAGGAAACTTCAGCTCATTATTAATTATCTGTACAGATATTTTTCTCTGGGGAGTTTAAAAAGGCCATTTATGAATATATTGGGCACAAGGGGCTGCAGCTCTGGGCTCTGCAGTGGCCAAATTCCAGCAGAACATTCTCACTTGGAATTTTGTTCAGAGGCCTCAAATCCTGCTTTGGGGGATGAAAGGCAGGTGAGGTGTTTTTTCTGTAATATAATCACTGACTAAATGCTTCTCTGTGTAAAACAAGTATCAGCTACATTAGCAATAAATCCATATTATTTAAAGCAGGGCTGTCCTGTATCCTGAGACACAAAATTCCCTTTTTTTTTGTTTTTTTTTGAGGCTGTGGCATTGGTGTTTCTGCAGCCAAGCTGATGCAGTGCTTTAATTCTGACTCCTGGATTCTAAAATCTTCACAACATTTTTAATTTCACCTCTGGAAATGGTTTCACCCTGCAACAGCAGCAGCAGTGGGAGTGGAAATCCTTTATCCTGGGGGCTGCTGTGGGGTTTGTGGGAATGTCTCAGGCCAGCAGAAGGAGCCACGGTGCCACCAAGCTGGGGACAGGCTGGGACATTCCAGCCCTGCCAGGAATTCCAGGAAGGATCCGAGGGATGGATGAACTCCACAGCAATCTGTGCTGCAGGCTGAGGGAATCATCAGAGCATCCCAGGGGAGAGACCTGGGATATCCCTGGGAACAGCCCAACTTGGGAACAGCCCAACTTGGGAACAGCCCAGTTCCCCAGAGCTGGGAGCTGGGACATCCCTGGAACAGCCCAATTCCTGAGCACTGGGAGCTGGGATGTCCCTGGGACCAGATGAATTTGGGAACAGCCCAATTCCAGAGTGCTGGAATGTCCCTGGAATAGCCCAGTTCCTGAGCACTGGGAGCTGGGACACCCCTGGGAACAGCCCAGTTTGGGAACAGCCCAATTTGGGAACAGCCCAATTTCAGAGTGCTGGGACATCCCTGGAACAGCCCAGCTTGGGAACAGCCCAGTTCCCCATGGCTGGCTCAGCCTCGTGGTCCCTTTGTCACCTCAGGCCATCTGAAGATGCTCTTTGGCAGCCACTCCCTGTGCCCTGAGGCTCCAGCTGTCCCCAGGGGGATGAAGCCACCAAAGCTGGCTGGATGAGCAGGAGGAGCTCCAGGCAGCTCCCTGTTTTTGGGAGGAGAGCAGCAGGAAGGCTGGAGCCCTGCTGCCACAGCCAGAGGGATGTTCCTGGCAGCCCTTCCCAGATGGAGGATGGAGTGTTAAGGCAGTGGGAGAGCCCTGCACTGGTCAGGTTGCATAAGCAATCTGCACAAGGAGTTCATCCTGTCACGCTCCAGCTGTGTCACGACAGAGTTTGGCACAAATCAGCACCACTGGAAAGCTGGAAATGCCTCGATTTGGAGGGAAAGCTTCCAAACCTTCCAGCTGGGAGCACAGGTAGGCACTGCACGTGGGTGTGGGAGACCACACAAAGCCTCTCACATCCATCAGTCCTTCCTCTTCAAGGAAGCAGCTGAAGCTCCTTTTTCAAAGCAATCCAATCAAAAATTCCCTGGCTGAGCAGAGATCATTGGCATGGATGGCTCTGGCCAGGACAGCCCTGCCAGGGAGGGGAGAGGAAGCTGAAGGTGCTGAGCCAGTTCTTGCTGCAGCTGCAGCCACTCGGGGTTGGCACAGGGCTGGTTGGGATCTGCCTGAGGGACAGGGAATGATCCTGGAATGATCCTGGAATGATCCAGGCAAAGCTGCAAACCCCTCCTGCCCTGCTGCGTTTGCCTGAATCCCGCACGAGCTGCTCTGCCCCCTGCCAGGGCTCCCTCCTGGCTGCAGCTCCTGCCAGCTCGTGTCCCTGGCTGTCCCAGGGCTGTGCTCAGAGCTCTCGGATCCCTCAGGAATGCTCACTGGCCTTGGGATGCTCCCTGCAGCCAGGAGCTCCCACCCCAGCTGGATGTGTGCTGTTTTCCTGGGCATGGCCATCGTTCCAGTGCCTGGGATGGGTTAGTGGAGATGTCTGCACACAAACATCCCTCTCCTCCACAGCTGCTGGCTGGAATCCCTCTTTCCCCAGGACAGCCGTGCCCTCCAAAGGGAAAGCACAACAGGAGCACTGAAGGGGACAGGGAAGGCAAACTCCACACACTGAGCTGCTCCCCCACTGCTGCTGTGCCATCCCAGCCCAGGATCCAGCATTCCCATGGGATCATCACCCACGGGCTGCACCTGCCAGCACCTGACCTCGCTGCCTGTGCACACTGCAACAACTGAAGCAATTGTCACCAATTCCTGTCAGCTGCTCACCTGAACAGCCAGGGGACTGCAAAGGTCAGGGAGCCAATTAAGGGCTGAGATCATCCCCAAACAAATTAAAGGAGGGAAGTTTGTTGGGGGAGAGGTGACCCAGGGACAAAACAAGACAAAGATGGGGATTCCTTCTCGAGCAGAAGTTTGTGCTCTTTGATTTTTTGCCTTGAGAGACCCCCTCAGCACCTCCCCAGCAGAGCTCAGCCCCACCCCAGACCCCTGGAGGTGAGCAGAGGGGCCAGGCAGCTGGGAAATGAGGAATAGTGTCCTTTCCCAAGGAACAGGCAAGGCCAGGAAATCCATCACATCCCTGACCCAACTCCACACCCAAACACAGGCAGCCTCCATCACCCTGAAGACTTGAGCAGATTGTCCAGGACCACGTTCCGGGGAGATCCCAAGGACTTCTGTAAGGCAGGATAAGGATAAAGGAGCCATCCAAAATCCTGCCTGCCCTGTCCCTCTGCCATGACACAGCTGGTACCAGAGGTGCAGCAAACCCAAACTGTCCTCTTTCCAACTTACAGCAGTCACAGATCCCAAAATACAATTAAATACTGAAAGTTAGATCTAAACATACTTCTGAAAATCTAGATTTAACACAACCTTTCATCTCTACAGTGCATTGATGCTGCCTGGCATTTGCATGTCATCCCAAAAGCCCGTTCCAGAGGGGTCTGCCCCGGGATTAACACCACAAATCCATCTGCAGTGGTACAAGGAAGTCTTTCACAGGCTTGACTCCCAGCTAGGTAGCTCTGAGGAACTCCCTGCTTGGGTGAGGCTCCCAACAGTCACCAGTGAAATTCATTTTCTCTCACATCACTTTCCAAGTCCATGCCACGGAAATAAGGTCAGGGTGATTCTCGGTGGAGGACAGACATTCTGCTACCACAGCTGAGCTCTGCTCCCATCCAGGAGGTTCAGAACTCTCAGGGTTTGGCTGAAGTCCACCATGAGTTGGTTTGGATACAATATGGCCTAGAAGAACTGTCCTAGAGTAATGCACAGCCTGAATAAACGTGGTAATTCAGGAGCTCTACCTACTCACATGCTTGGCAGGGGTTTATTTCGGGGGGAGGCTGAACAAAGCGAGAGCCAGCAGCGGCAGCAGGCTGAGAGTTGGCTCCTCTTCCTCCTTCACATCACAAACCCTTCTCCCACCCACCCCTACCACTGCAGGGTACAGAGATGAGGAACATGAGAGCAGCTCCCGAGCCGTGACACCCAGGAGGGAAAAGCAGCAGCACTGCCCTGCCCGTGCCATGCCCCTGAGCCAGCCTGGGGCTGGCACCCCAGAGGGGAGGAACCAAACCAAAACCCTGCACAGGATTCCTAAAGAAAAGTGAGAAATGGGAGGTTCCAGTCGCTTCCTAAGGAGCAGCGAGGGCACAGGGCAGGGACAGGGGACAAACTGGATTCTTGTGGTCGCTCAGCATGGATTTGTTGTATTGCTCCTTTTGTCAAGCCAAGAGCAGAGCCCAGAGAGATCCGCTGCCGCGGGAGAGCCCGCACGGCGTTCCTTGAGCTTCCCACCACGGACAAACTGTTCTGAGTCCTGAGCGGGCCCGGGGGCTCCTCACTGCTGCTCCTCTGCTTTGCTGCTATTCCTGAACTTCACCACCATGACTGTGATGTTGTCGGGGCAGCCTCTGTAGAAGGACTGCAGCACGATGCTCTTGGCCCCGAAGTGCGGCTCGTCCAGGCGCTCCTTGATGAACCGCACGGCCTCCTCGTTGCTGAAGGCGTCCCACAGCCCGTCCGAGGCCAGGATCATGAACTCTGGCTGCAGTTTGTCCAGGTCAAAGCTCAGGATGTCGGGGTCGGGGATCACCACGTTCAGGTTCTTCAGGGGGTAATCGCCCAGCGAGCGCGACATGGCCAGGATGCCCTGCACGCGCCACGAGCCGTTGAAGCTGATGAACCCACCTGGGGGGAAAGAGCAACGCTGAAATCTGCTCTTTGGAACATCTAAACAGCCCTTTGGAACACCTAAACAGCCCTTTGGAACGCCCAGGCAGCTCTTTGGAACACCCAAGAAGGTCTTCGGGACATCCAAGGAGCTCTTCGGGACGTCCAAGCTGCTCTTTGGAATATCCAAGGAGCTTTCTGGTTCCCACCAGACCTCCCCAAAGGCTCATCCTGAGGGGTTACAGAGCTCAGAATGTGGGAGGTGATGCCTCAGGTGAAAAACAAGCAGGATGGGAGTGCAGGGGCTGAGCTGGAATTGGACAATGAACTCCAATGTGATCTGCTGCCACCTCTGCCCTGGGACATCCCACTGGAATTTTGGGTGGAGAGCAGGAGATTTGATCTGCTGCTGCCTCCGTCGGGCGCTTCCCACCCTCTCCCAGGGGAAATGTCAATTTTAGCGACAAATAAAAGCTGAACCTTCCAACAACTCACCAGCTCTCTTAATCCTCTTCCTCTCCTTCAGCTGGTAGGGCTTGTGGTCGTGGGACAGGGGGATGGCATTGCCATCCTTGTCGCAGAGCACGCCCCGCGAGTCGCCCACGTTGGCCACGGTCAGCTCCTTGTCGGACAGGAGGGCGATCAGACACGTGGTGCCTGCAGGAACACCAGGGTGGGAGGCAGAGAACCACGGGGGGTGGTTTTAGATGTGAAAAAAAAAAAAAAATCCTATTTCTGCCATGAAATGGATATTCCTGATCAGCAGGAATTCCTGTCGCGGAATGCCAGGATGGTTGAGGGGGGAAAGACTTCCAGGATTGGGGAGTCCCAGCTGTGACCCCCCCGAGCACTGAACCCACCTCAAAAGGGGAGGAATGTTTCCCATTTTCCATTTCTCATCTCCTTTCCAGTTCCCATCTTCCCCTTCCTGCCCCCCTCGCCCAAACCCAGCAAATACCAGCTAAAAAAACCCCATTCCGGGGCTGGTTCCTGGCTCTGGCTGCAATCCCAAATATCAATATCTCCAGGACTGCTTGACAGCAGGGAAAAATGATTTCCATCTCTTTTTTTTTTTTGTTGTGCAGTAATGAAACTCAATTTTTTCAGGACTCCTGGGGAAGAAGGGCCATCCATTAAGGAAAAAAACATTTCCCACAGGACAAAACCACCTCCAGAACCTGCCAGCAGGCTGGAATTCCCTGGAACCTTGGAATTAAATGGCAGAATGCTTTTAAATAACCAAAATTGGTCACTGACCACCTCAGATGTTTAGGGATGCTGTAAATCAAAGGAATGGGATTAAGAGCCAGCAAAGCTTTGTTGGGAGAAAATATTCTTGCACAAAATTACCCCAGCCTTAGCGAGTCAAGAATGCCACTTTTTAAACTAAAGGATTTAGAGATTAGGAGAAGATTTGTCCCCATCTGTCACTTTTGGCCTCCTTTCATTTTTTAAAGCTTCCTTACTCAAACCTCACAAAAAAATCTTGCCAGCACTTGACTATTTCCAGACAAACTCATTTTATTTGTAGCTGTCATGGATTGATTTCCTAAAGGGAAAGATTCACAAAAAGAGGGAAAGATCCACATTGGGATGTGGAATCAAGGCTGCATTTTATTAACACAGGATGTTGCCAGAAAGGCCAAATTAAAGCCCAAAATTGTGCCAAACCCAGAGCATTTCAGCTTTACTCTGGGAAATGGTGCAGCTGAACTCGACCCACTTTGGGAAACATCCCTGGGGAGGAAGGATTTACCTGGGGGTGCAAAATGCTCCTTCCAAGAGGGATGGGAAAGGTTTCCTGGCTGGAAAAAAAATGTGGAAGTGCTTCCCTGTGCACCAGACCCAGCCACAATCAGCATGGGAGCCCTGGGAGCCCCTCAAACACCTCCCCTGGCAGCTTCCCTGGCTGCCAGCTGCTGGAATTCCACCTGCTCATCATTATTCAGAGCTGAAACCCCGGCAGGGCTCCAGGATGGCTCTGGGTGATCCCTCACATCACCCCTGCCAGACAAAATTGGATTTTCTCCCCTTTCATCACCATCACTTCTATTTTGCCAATTCTGAAGGATTGTTTCCTTCGCTTTTTGTACCCCACCAGCAGCTGGAGTTCCTCATTCAGTTGATTTTTCTGGGAAAAAAATAAGCCAAAAAAAAGGGAAAATGTCACCACCAAGGGCTGGAGCACCCAGGATCACCAGCAGCTGCTGTAATTATATTTAACTGCCCATTTTCTGTGCTTTGCTCACAAGCAGCTCTCGTTCCAAGGGCAGGTAGAGCCATTTCTGCCTTTCCCATAAATAAGGGACACAATTAGGAGGATGAGGGGCTCCACTGCTGTGTTTTCATCTCTGATCAAGCTGGAATTTTGGGCTTTCATTTACAGCTGTGCTGCTGGGAATTTTCTAAACCGGTTATTACACAGCTTCTCATTTCCACATGATTTTTGCTGGATGAGATCAATCCCCAAATATGTGTTTTAAGCAGTTTTAATCTTTATTTTTGCCATACAAACACTGAGATTTCCGTAAAGGAAAAAGCTTTCTTTTCCTTCTGACAGGAATCAGTAATTCCCCTGCATTTTCTCCTCCCTAACAAACTCCTTTAAATGAAAATAAGTGGAGAGGAGCTGGAGTGACCAAACTAAGAGAAAAAAAAAAAATTACAGGATTTTGGGAAATTCTGTGTGAGAAAAGATCAACAGAGGTGACAGAAAGCAAAAAATTTTTGAAGCTTATTTTTTATGTATCATTAAAAGCAAGCCATATGTGGTGAAAAAAATATTTTTCACCCTCACTTGACCTCTGCTGGCCCTTGAGAACCCACAAGCCAAGCCCCTGGAGTGAGGTGTATTTTCCAGAGGGATCTAAAAGCTGGAAGGCATTTCTGATTGCTTGAAAAGAAAATGCTAGGAAAAGTGTCAGATCTGCAAACTGGGAGTTCACTGTTAAAAAAGCCCCCAAAACTGCCTGGGTTTGGCTGCCCATGGCCTCGTGTCAGCTTTAAAAATCAGCTTTTGTGCCTGCCCAGTGCTGGGAATGCCCAAAAATCAGGAATTTGTGAAGGAGAAAAGAGCAAAAACCAGGGGGTAGCAACGGAGAGACCCAGGAGGGACAAGTCCCAGCCAGCCTGGCTTCAGGAAAAACAAACATTTCACCAAAATGGGGATAAAAGCTGAACCTGCACAAGGGGTTTGGGGGAAGACTGCAAATGAACAATTTTTTTGGGGCAGAAAAATGAGAATTCTAAGGAATCATTGCAGGAGGAACAAACGTTTCACAAAAACGACACAAGAGTTCAAGGGGTTTGGGGAAGGACTGAAAATGAGCAATGTTGTGCACAG